AACTGATTTATTTTATCTTTGCCATGATGACAATAAATAATATTTGACTGGATATTTTTAAGACACTTCTATACAGCTTAAAGTGACATTTAAAGGCTTAACTAGGTTAAGCAAGTTAACTTGTTAAGTCAAGGTAATTAGGCAAGTTATTTTATAACAATGGTTTGTTCTGAAGACTTAAGGGGCTAATAATTTTGACCTTAAAATGGTTCATAAAAAAAATTTAAACCGCTTTTTATTCTAGCCGAAATAAAACAAAAGTCTTTCTCCAAAAGAAAAAATATTATCAGACATACTGTAAAAATGTCCTTGCTCTGTTAAACATTATTTGGGAAATATTTAAAAAAGAAGAAATAAATCAAAGAGGGGCTAATAATTCAACTGTGTGTAGATAGATAGATAGATAGATAGATAGATAGATAGATAGATAGATAGATAGATAGATAGATAGATAGATAGATAGATAGATAGATAGATAGATAATTAGATAGATAGATAGACCGACAGACAGACAGACAGACAGACAGACAGACAGACAGACAGGCAGACAGATAGATCATAACAAGAACTGCTGCTTAATTGAATGCATGTAATAGCGACACCCGGTGGTTATTTTTTGAATTACGTTCATTTTTGTATAGCGGGCCAGATTCTATTGATATTTATAAAGCCTCGCGGGCCGCCAAAAAACTGATTGCGGGCCGCAGATGGCCCGCGGGCCGTAGTTTGGACATGCCTGCCCTAAGGCATTTGTTTTGTCTTTGAAACACAAATGAAGCTATTTAGATGAAATCAGAGAGCTCCCTCATCCTCCATAGAGGACAAGTTAGGGATGCAACGGTTCTGTATGAAAAATTGTATCGTCCCATTGTCCTCCCACGGTTCGGTGCACCCTGTGATCCACTGTTCAGAATATGCTTCATTATTGGTTTGGAGACAAAAAAACAGCGACACAGCAAAAAAATTCCGCCTTTGTGCTTCTGATTACCTGCATTGCGCATGCAAAGACCTGTCCAATCACCTCTTATTATGTAAATCTGTTGTTGACATCGATTCCTCACGTGTCCGTATATGAGCAATATCACACGAGTAGCAGTGCGATATGGCTGTATATCAGCACGGGTGGGAGGCGTGTGTAGGCTTAGCGTCCCACCAGTGCTGATATACAGCCATATCGCACTGCTACTCACGTGATATTGCGTTTATACTACGTTTATATATGCATGTATATAAATAAGAAAAATCAAACACGCAGTCCAAACACGCCTTTTTATTAGGAACTACTTTCTTCCGCCATTCATTCACATGTACAGCTGAAGCCGTTACTAATTCACTAATGTCACTTTAGAGCTAGTGTTTGAATGACTCTGTAGCGTAATGTCTAAAGTGATGACAAAACAGCTGATTTTGCTCACGCTTTTAAAATTATAAGGCTGAACGTGACATGAAATGCCATCAGTCTACAGACATATCTTCTTACAGTGTTACAGTCTACAGTATTTCTCTGTTGAAATCGGGATATCACCATAATTAACCCCGAAAAAAGCAACGCAATCACTAGCAGACTGCTGTTGTGTTTGGAAAAACGCTAAACACATGCAGACTTTGCTTCTTTCTTTCTGCCAACACAAAAACAAATTCCTGATATGCGAGCAAATCTGAATAAATGCAGCACTACAACATACAAAAGAGAGAGATCGACTTATAATGTCACTTACCAGCATACCTGCCAACATGTCTCTGAAAATCTGGGAGAGGGGGAGGGGGTGTTTGGCGGTGGGGTCTCTAAATAACACTGTTGAGAAGCGGGATAGGATGCAACAGGTTTTGGGTGGCCGCTTCGATCAGGTACAGTACCAAATTTAGCAACCCAGGGGTGTTTACAGACTGTACCAAAGAGGGGGGGCGGGTGAAATTAAGGGATGGTTGCAGGAGATTGGATACCAGTTTAATAATGATTTGATCTGCTGTAGTTAGAATTCAGACTCTTATATCTTCTATGCGTAAGGGCTTATAATGCGGTTCTGTCGCCACCTTGTGGATAGAAAACGTCAACCGTCTTTGGTCTACTATATTGCAGCTGACGAGCTCTCTCAGAAAATGCAAATATTTAAAAATAGGCACTATTTTTACAAATAAACTGCATAGTTGCAATCTAAACAACTACATTTTCCACTAAAAAAGCCTCAAAAGTACATTTTGTTGTCTAACAGCAGTTATTTTTGTCAAACTGTAGCGTCTCTGCTTGTTGCTGGCTGTATGTGGGCGGAGTAATACACAGTGAAGGGTGAAGAGGTCTTTGTGTGATGTCACTGGCAAAATATCGCACAGCTATCAGCCAATCAGATTCAAGAACCAGACAGAACTGTTGTGTGTGTGTATATATATATATATAT